TTAGTAATCAAATTGCTTCTTACCAGAACCCAATATCCAAAATTCTGAAGTGGTACCGGAAAGTGGCAGTGAAATTAATATTTAATAAAGCAGTAACCAATGCTTAGTTGTTAAAGAATAGAAAAGGCGAAAAAGCGACAACCTATCATTGAGTTCAGACTGTTTTTCGCGAAGACATTTGCAAATAAATAAATGTTGGAACGCTCACGACCAGTTACACCCAAAAAATACCATCTCAGGCAAAGCGACATAGGTAATAAAAAGAGAAGAAAGTGTACAAGATATTACAAAAGTTTAAGAAGAAACATGACTAGTAGAAAGACCGATAGAAAAGTTAAAATAGTTAAAACATACTGTAGAGCATGTGATGTTAAAACTGCAATATGTCTAGTGTGCTTCAATAAAGCACATTAAAATACAATTTCACTTATACAGGAACTATTATTACGTGAAAACGTATTGTTCCACAAGTACCCTTATAGTATTGAAAATCGTAAATTATTAGTTTCTATTAGTACATTTTTATTGTTAATTACCTCTGTAAAAGTGAGTTATAAAATTGTTTTTGTAAATTGTATTATATTTGTAAAAAAAATAGATGTAAATAATATGCCTTCGACATCTAAAAAAGCTAGATGTGAACATAAACGTAGATTGACCACTGATAACTTCTATAATAGTGTTGACTTGACTAGACAATTGCTCATAATCCATATTAAGAAATAACCGAATAGACAATCTCTACTTGTCAAAGAAACATCGTGAAATGGTCAGTATTTACAGTCCTAAAGAAATATGTGTGACCAAATGCAGAGATAAACGAGATATATACATGATATATTCAGAATTTCGTTGTCAGAGGGTTAGAACTAGATCAAGAAGAGGATTGATATTTAAAAAAGTTAATTGATTAATTTAATAAATATAAATGTGGTATACACTTACGTGAACAAACGCTGAGCTACTATTCATGTGAACATATAACATATTTCTTATATAACAGTGGATATCAAAAGAAGATTTCCCTTTGCGATTTTAAACTTTCAGTCAATGAGAGTCTTTAAGGACCAAATTCCAAGTACCTACCTATTAAAAAACTGGTAGTCCACCATTTATATTAAAATTTTCCAAAAACTGTTTTACGAAAAACTAGGTGCTGCAAATTGGTGTGTAAAGGGGTAGTTAAAGGCAGGAGCTATGATAAGTATGGCAGAAGAACTTGAAAAATACGGAGTTGAAATATTGGCACTGCAGGAAATCAGATGGAAGAGCCAGGGAGAAATTCATAAGAATAAATTCTCACTATACTACTTCGGAAATGAAATTAGACAAGGTGAAAGAGGAGTAGGGTTTATAATAACCAAAAAACTGCGGAAAGACATTATCGCATTAAACCAATATCAGATAGAATTTGCACCATAAGATTTAAAGGTAAATTTTATAACGTGACAATGGTTAATGTATATGCACCGACGGAAGAGGCTGATGAAGAAGACGTTGAAAGATTCTACGGAGAACTACAGGATGTATGTGATAAAATCCAAAGACACAATGCTGTTATAACGTTAGGCGATTTTAATGCTAAACTGGGGAAAGAAGAAACGTTTGCAAATATATTTGGGAAACACAGTTTGCACACTGAAACCAGTCAAAATGGACTCAGGGTGGCACAGTCCGCAGCAGCAAATAACTACGTAGTTGTCAGTACTAACTTCCAGAGAAAAGATATCCATAAAGGAACATGGAAAATACCAGGAACTAAGGAAGCAAATCAAATTGACCATATACTCATCTCAAAAAGTTGGGCAACAGACATAACTAATGTCAGAACGTATTGCGGGGCGAACTCTGACTCAGATCACTATCTTGTAGGGGCAAAATTACGGCAGAAAATAGCGACAGTAGCAAAAGGGAAAAATATTCAAATCAAAAAATGGAATGTCGAAGAATTCAAAAGCGCAACAAATAGACAAGATTACAGAAATGCTCTCCAAATAAAACTCAACCGAACTAGAGAGGAAGATACTGCAGAGGAGGAATGGAGACAATTAGAAACAATTATAACAGAGTCAACAGAGGAAACTGCCAAAAGGCAAAGAAATGCGGAATGGTATGATGATGAATGCAGAACTGCAGTAGAGGAAAAAAGGCAAGCTAGGCATAATTAACTTCAAAGAAACACAAGAAATAGCAGTGAGATTTATAACGAAAACAGAATACAAGCGACTAGAATATGCAGAAGTAAGAAAAGAGAGGCTATGAAAAAACACGTACAAGGAATCGTAAAGCATAACAACAGACGCGAAAGCAGAAAATTCTATAAATGCGTAAAAGAAAGCACACAGTCATTTAGACCAAAACTAACGATATGCAAAGACAAGGACCGAGAACTACTAACAGATAAGCAAAAAATTATAATGAGATGGAAACAATATTTCGAAGAAAATCTAAACGCAGACAACGAAAATGATCAGAACGAGACAATATATTATACGGCGGAGCTGCACATCGAAAATCCGAGTTATGAAGAAGTAGTTCAGATAATAAATAAACTAAAAAACAATAAAGCACCAGGAACGGACGGAATTTCGGCAGAATTATTAAAGCATGGAGGATCCGAACTCTGGGAAAGAATCCATTACCCAATAACATTAATATGGACGAAGGAGCAAATGCCAGAGGAATGGACAGTTGGCCTCATACAGCCAATATATAAAAAAGGAGATAAGAGGGAATGCCAGAATTATAGGCCAATTACATTGCTAAGTAATATACAAAATTCTTTCTGGTATAATCTACAATAGATTATTAGAATACTCCGAAAATATAATTGGTGATTATCAAAATGGATTCAGACTAAATAGAGCCACTACAGATAACATATTCATACTAAGAACGATACAAGAAAAAGCTTATGAATACGACATAGACCTATATAATATGTATATAGACTTTAAACAATCTTTTGATAGTGTGAAAAGAGACAGAATGCTGGAAGACCTTTATAATCTAGATATACCTAAGAAATACATCAGCTTCATAAAAATGACGTTGCAGGGTTCAAAAGCCGCAGTCAGAGTAGATGGAGAACTGACACACCTGTTTAACATCAACATGGGAGTAAGACAGGGAGATGCCCTATCAAACATGCTATTCAACCTAGTTCTTGAGGCAGTCATCAGAAAAACCAATATAACCGGCCATATAAACACCAAATCAGTACAAATTACTGCATATGCAGACGATGTAGCCATCATTAGTAGGAATAAACCACGACTAATGGAAGTGTTCAAACGTTCAAACAAATTGATCCTAAAGCAAGAAAAAGGGGTCTCAAAATAAACGAAGCAAAAACGAAGTATATGACAGTCAAAAGAATAACTGACAATGAAAATAATATCACAATAGACAACTATACTATCGAACGAGTGGATGCCTTTACATATCTCGGCACAGAAATCAATCAGAAAAACTCCGTAAGTAGCGAAATTAATGCACGTATTTCCAGCGGGAATCGTACATACTATGCTAATAAAAGATTGATGACATCGAAATTATTAGACAAAAGAACCAAAATGACTATCTACAGAACACTGATTAGACCCGTAGTAACCTATGGATGTGAAACTTGGGTAATGACGAAAAAAGATGAAGCCCAACTCAGGACATTCGAGAGAAAAATACTGAGGAAAGTATATGGTCCGGTACAAGAGGAAGATGGCACATGGAGAATCAGGAGAAACGACGAGGTTAATGAGTTAAATGAAGGTTATGACATTGTAAGATTTGTGAAAAGTCAAAGACAACAAAGAAAATGTTACAATGGAAGCCCATAGAAAGGCGAAAAAAAGGAAGGCCTAGAACGAGATGGTTGGATGACGTGGAAGACGACCTGAAAACAATGAACATAAGACAATGGAGAAGAAGGGCACAAGAGAGATCTGAATGGAAGGACATAGCCAGACAGGCAAAGACCCATCCAGGGTTATGATGCCAAAAGAAGAAGAAGAAGAAGGTGCTGCAAATTAGTATCAGTTATTCATTCTAATGTAAAAAGTTTTTTATTATTATTTTTTTATTTTTCTTTAAGTATTTTTAACTTTTAAAGCAACATTTCCACAAATTTTATTATAGTAAATAAAAAATTATACATTTACATAGTTATTTATTATTTTAATAGAAAACAAATAAACATGAACAGTGCACTGGTAGCATATACAATATATTTTAAATTTAATTTGAAACAAAAAAATAATATTCTACATAAACAAACAAAATTTAACCAAAAATTAATAGTAATTTTAAAAAAACTAACCGGCACCGTCTGTACATCAACATATTTTATTGGAGACGAACGTTTTTCTTGTATTTGTCAATTTTACAATAATAATACAAGTATTTATCTGTTGCTGCCAGCGGCAAAATTCGTTTCGATCGTTCATTCATAATTTTTCACAATTCTCTTAACTGCTAAATTAAATATGCAACCAAACCATAATAGTAAATCCGAGAACCCTAAAAACCGGTCGGTAAGGTTGAATGTCGGTCGGTGAACTTCTACTAAAACGGATCGATATGTATGTATCTATGTTTCAAATAAATATATATATTTTGGCAACATCTCGTGATACTGTATTGACGCAAGACACAATGATTTGACCTATAGGGAGTTAAAATGTCTGTTGAGTGTAAAAAAATAAATATATAAAAAAATCGATATATTAAAAAACTGACAACAATGTCAAGCCTTTGCGACATGCTGAATAGATATATTCCTAGCCATAATACCTTCCTTACAGTATCATAAAAAAGCAGTAGATATAAAACTTAGAAAATTCTATGACCCGAATCAAAAATAAAACAAAGTGCAGAAGCAACTGGACTTAACCGATAAGAACGGCAATACGTCTCGCTAGACACATAAAAAATTAGATATATCAAATCATACTACTAGCTTTAAATAGATTTAAATCTGTAACGATATTTTGCATTTATCTTACTTTACAGCCTGCAAGGTCCACTGTTTGTTTAATTTTTCTATCACCTGAGTCAGCGCTTCTTGATCGTAATTCCAGTTTAAATCATCATACTCGCAGTAATATAAATTTAAGGGAATTTCACTAGCCATAGAGTATGCTGGTTTTCTGCAAAATGAATAATATATATATATATATATATATATATATATATATATATATATATATATATATATATTATAATATATATATATATAATATAACAGCAGTTATATTAAATATATCATAGTTAAATTTTTTGTTTGGCCTATTCGCTATTTTTAATAAGATCCATTCATGATATGCATATTGAAATGTGAAATAAATATTGAGCAAAGAAATAGAGGGCACAGTCCGATTGTATACTTAAACGACTCAAAAATGAATCAGTATTTAATTATTTAACATGTAGACTATATAAATCTATTGCATTCTTTCTGATGGATTTTGCTGATTCTGTTTGTGATCGATAAAATACATGGAACAAGTGTAATCACAATTGGATGCACGTGGATGTATGAGAGGATTTAGATGTCGACGGAAAATATTTTAAATTAGAATGATCGTTCGATGTTTTTGAGGTTTATTGCTCAGAAATAGAAATGTTTTTATGGATGAGAGACTAAATGATATAATTATTTTAGACTATGTTGATTTGCTATGTAAATAAAAATAAAAAAAAATTAAAAAAAAAATAAAAAGTAACTAACAACATCGGTTAAGAAAATAATGCTCAAACACGAAAACAGCCAAAACATCTAAACTCCAACCTAATACAATTAAACTACTCCAAGAAAGACGAAACAGAACAGATCGGACTTCGGACAGCTTTAAAAGTTTAAACTAAAACGTGAAGCCGGTAATTAGGAACGATCATAGAAACTATACAAACAATCTAATAAAAAATATAATACAAGATAACTGCAATATGAAAGTACTCAAAGCAAAAAACTCAAGCGGCACAACAAAAATTATCTCTATCTATCTATACAGCCCTTAACATCCATCCTTGGATATAGGCCTCCTCCTCCTTCTTCCATGCTTCTTTATCTTGGGCAATTTGCATCCATTTTGACCCAGCGTGTTTCTTCAGGTCATCTGGCCATCGCATTTGTGCCCTTCCCCTTTTACGTTTGTGATTCCATGGTCTCCAATGTATAATTGTTTTAGTACATCTTTCATCTTTTTGCCTTAGGGTGTGTCCGGCGAACTTCCATTTAAGCATTGCTACTTGGGTTGAGACATCTTTCACTTTTGTTTTATTACGGATCCATTCGTTTCTTTTTTGTCTGATAGTTTAATGTTCAGCATTTGTCTTTCCATGGATCTTTCTGTCTTTGCTATTTTTTCCATATTTTCCTTTGTAAACGTCCATGTCTGAGCGCCATATGTGAGAACAGGGAGTATACATTGATTGAAGACTTTCGTTTTTAAGTATTGGGGGTATTTTGAATTCTTTAGAATATAAGACAGTTTTCCGAATGATGCCCAGGCCAATCTTATTCTTCTCTTTATTTCTTCGGTTTGATTTTCTTTATTTAATTTAGTGATTTGGCCTAGATATATATACTCTTTTACGTGTTCTATTTTTGTTTGTGCCACTGTAATTATAAGTTCTTCTGGTTGATTAGTCATGGTTTTTGTTTTACTATAATTCATCTTGAGTCCAATTTTTGTCGATTCTCTATCTAGTTCTTCCATCATTCTTTGTAATTCTTCACTTTTTTCTGTTATTAATACAATATCATCAGCATATCGTAAATGATTCAGATTTTGCCCGTTTATATTAATTCCCAAGTCATCCCAGTATAGTCGTTTAAAAACATCTTCTAGCACTTGGTTAAATAACTTGGGCGAGATAGTGTCTCCTTGTCTTACTCCTCGGTTTATTTTAATAGGCTCCGTTTGTTTCATTAGCTTAATAGTTGTTGTTGCCTTGTTGTATATATTTGTAATTAAGTCGGTATATCGGTAGTCTATTCTGCTGTTTTGTAGGGAATTCTGTACTGCCCAGTGTTCCACACTATCAAATGCCTTCTCAAAGTCAATAAATGCCATGTAAATGCCACAAAAATTATAGAAATAAAAAATGAGAAAAACGTCACCGTCCGAGACAGAAAGGAAATAAGCGAGGCCGTTGAAAAATTCTACACTAAATTATACTCGGTAAATACACAACCACAACAATGACGTACTGAACGAACAATAATTAACACTGGCTCAGAAGGAATACCGAACATAACCGACTATGAAATAAAAATTTTCCATTTGTTTTCATAATATTTTATAGTTTTAGACAAAAGAAATTATTGTAAAATCACATAAAAACAATCCTTAATTTAAAAGTCAACAATAAATTTCTATTATATTTGTGCTTTTATTTTTGACTTTTCTTAAAATTTCTATTTGTTAAAATTATATATTATAACCAACTGTTGGTTTGGAATTTTAATAAATATAATACTATTTCTTTATTAAGGTTTATTTCCGATTGTTACGATTCCTCTTATCTATATTTCTTTCTCAGGTTATTACTTTTACTCATTACTCTCAGGTTATTACTCATTACTTTAAGTAAACATAAATACCATTTATATACACATACAGATGTAAGTTCATCGTGTCGTAGAATAACAAAAATGTATCCACACATTCATTAGTAGTTAAAATACTTTCACACAGTCTAATGTAAATGACCATATCATACCTGGGATTTTTTGTAACATTCAGTAATTCATCAATAACCTCAGGTACTTCATTTTCTTGTCCAATTAAAAACAATACGCCCATGATACATCGAATCTGATGCCACAGAAATGCTTTTCCTTTTATAATAATGACATACATATCGTAATCTAAAATTATAGAAAATACATTTCACATTGAACATGTTTGTATCCATTTTAATAAAACATTCACAAGATATATTAAGGTAATAAAAATGAATATATGAATATATATATATATATATATATATATATATATATAATATATATATAATATATATATATATATATATATATAAAACAATTTATTGTGTTGGAATATCGGGTATGCGGTCTGTTAATATTAAAAAAAAAAACTCTTTTTTCTTTTAATCCTCTATATTTCGCTGATTTTTTGTCAGCTTCATCAGGAGACAACTAAAAATTTGAATAAAAGTTATATAAAAATTAGTTTGAATAAAAAGTGACTCACTTACAGATTTAGAGTGGAAAGTATTTAAACAAGTTGAACATAATTTGTTCAAAACAGTACTGACAGTTTTTGTTAAAAGTACCTAGGTCACTAGTAATTAAATGTAAAAATATAAAAACAGAGCAAACAAAAACAACGAAACAATTAAAACACAATAAAATTACACATTAAAAATATACAGGGTGATTTAAAATATAATTGTTAACAGAAAAATTATTTAGACATACTAAGAATATTACAGTAGATATTGCTCAACTGTCCCGTGTCTGCCTTGTAATTTACTGCATAGTTTTCTCTATTTATATGACACATTTCCAAAAACAATCTTTTTTTGTAATTATTTTCTTGCTGTAAAACCCTGACATTTGAGTAATCAAATTGATGGCCAGTTTTTAAGTGATGGTCAACTGCCGCACATGTGTTCTTCCGTTTTGTGCAGTCACTTTTGTGTTGGGTGACCCTTTGTTTTAGCCACTGAGAAGTTTGGCCAACATATCAGCTCTGGCAATCCAAACAAGGCAGTTTGTAGATAACATTAGTTTTGTTTAAAGTTGGTGTCTTGTCTTTTACTTTGGAAAACAGTTGTCGGTTTTCTAATAAATTGTATTGGACAATTTTTATGTTGGTAAATTGTTTAAATAAACTGGTCACAGAAGGTGTTAACTGTTTTATTAATGGTAGTTTTTTATATTGTGTTGTTTGTACTGCTCCGATATCAGTGGGACCGTCAAAAATGTCAGAGTTAAATATCAATTTTTTAAGGATATGTTTTGGGTATCCATTATTTTGAAAGATGTTTAACAGCAAATTTAAGTTTTTGTTTATGAATTTATCGTCACTAATATGCCTTACCCTATTCTTCATTGCAATGACTGTATTAAACTTTTGGTGAGTAGGATGATTTGAAAAAAAGTTTAAATATCTTCCAGAGTGTGTTGGCTTTTGATACCAATCTATCAATATTTTGTCATATATATATATATATATATATATATATATATATATATATATATATATATATATATATATATATATGTATATATATATATATATGTATATATATATATGTATATATATATATATATATATATATATATATATATATATATATATATATATATATATATATATATATATATATATATACTTTGTTATTGGCTTTTCAAAGTATGCCTATGGTTTTTATCCAATACTGTATTTTACTTACCTTCCTCATTTTGATTAATTGATTCAATATTAATTTCATCAATCTTTCTTATAAACTCAACGACACCATTACCTACATCCATTTTACAAAAATTTCTGAAATCGTGTGCCCCAATTAATTTTTCTGTTGCTATTCGCATTTTCTAAAAACAAACATCATACAATATAAAGGAGGATCTAAACATGAATTAGTGCCAAAAAATAAACCTGAGTTGATTTTGATAGATGGATACAAAAAGTGAATAAAATTATCACCTCTGAGATTAATAATTGGAGTTGATACTAGGTCTATAAGTTGTAGATGAAGTCTAGATCTTTTATACTCAAAACACAGATGAATAATATGAGTGCATAAAAGATCTTTGATCGCAGTGTGGAGAGGTCTATGATACAGAATGGCCCCTTTAAAATATCAAATCCATACATTATAGATTGTGCAAGAATCTATCTAACAAGATCTTTATACTTAATCATCTTCTTACTTCCTTGATAGGCTTTCAACTGTTCTATCTTTGCAGATGATATGATCTCAAAAATTATTCTACTGTTCTACTCTTGGATCCTACTGTTCTGGGAGGATCTCTCCAAGCTCTACCATTGGATGGTTTTAAATTGTATAGAACTAAGTACTTCAAAATGCCATCGCATATCCTTTCTTAGTATGCATTCGCCAGTCTTTAGTGAATACAAAGTCAATAACACTGCTATTATTAGAGTATCAGAAAAAGATTTAGGCACTATATTTTATAGCGAACTTAGTTTTTGCTTTAATCTGTGCCTTCTAAGAATTGCAAGGCAAAACAGACGTTGATAAAGAAATCAAAAATCAGACAAAAATCAGAAAACAAAAATCTGAATTTGGTTTCAAAAATTAGTTTACGGATTTTAATATCAAATGCCGCCATTTGCGTCCATTCGAAGCCATGTTAGAGTTGCTTCTTAAGACAGAAGAGTTTTATTTCCACGTTCAGTGCGACTATGAATTTCCGTTTTGAAGAGGCCTATTGGGCCAAAATACGTATAAGCGGCTACATAAGCACACTATACGTGAAATTAAATCTTAACTGTCTTTCCTTTTCATTCAAAATGAATTTCATTAATCGATCATCTACGCATTGTGATGTGGACACTGTTAAGATGCTATAATGCTCACTGGTGAGGTCAGTAGTAGAGTAGGTCTCGATTATCTGGGGGTCACTGCTTTAAAACAGATAGAGGCTGTACGAAATTCGCTGCTTTAAATTATATTTTATGGAAGACAGTTATTTTTATCTGTATTCCAATATCAGAAATCTTCTCAATTTGTTGACCCTGGACAATAATTCTACAATTATTGTAGATTGGCCAATAACATGTCTTTTTGGGTACTATTTTATCGGCTTGCATTGCCAGAATTTTGTGAGAAAATTTTATTTGTGATTAGTAGAAAATGTTAGTAGACAAAAGAGGCCCCAGATTTTTAGGAGTGCCAATTTGGTCAGATTGATGTTTTTGACTATACAACTCATAAATGTGTTTGTGTTTAAATATTTTTTACATTTTAGCTTTGACTTGGCTCTATAATGTAGCTATGTAATCTTATTATTCTTTATTGTAATTGGGATTACCGGTTATAAACAAATAAATAAAATTTAAAACGTGTTATATATGGATTACCTCTAAATTTAATTGTCCTCTGGGAAAATAATACCTATAGGTCCTGGACTTACAATCAAATCTTGCACTAAAACTCTCATCTACAGCACTCCAACCAACACATTGTATATCATTCGGCAATTCTCTATTTAATATTTTACAATAGTTTAATGGAACACTTGGCTTAGATGGATCATCTTTCAACACATTAGTTCTTACATCTAACGAAATAATTTGTCCGAATGAACTAACCCCTTTATCTGTCCTGCCACATCTGTGGTAATTGGAAGATGCCCTATCTGGAATAAGTTTTGTCCTCTGTAGAGCCTGGAATAGATGATATTCCACTGTATTAGTAGTATCTTCTTGCACAACAAAACCTTTGTAATCCCAGCCCAAATATAAAAAGTGTAGGGCTATGTGTTGAAATTGATACCTGAAAACTTTAGTTTATTAATATTATAAAATTGTAGCATTTGTACAATATAATTATTATAATTTAATGCTATAATTTGAAACATGTATATATTAAACATAAAACACTGTAGTATTTCCTATTGTCATATTTATACATAAGACTCCTTATTAGCCACTGGGACATGACATGTCAAGTATGAGAATTTCAACAGCAAGGATATGAAACATTGAATACTATTTTTAGTGGTGTCAAATGTCTGCTACAATAAACTTTGTTGATTTTTATAAAGTCGGCACATTCTTTTTTAATTTGAACTTTTATTTCTGCAGTGTAGGTGAGACTGAGGAATTCTATGCACCTAAGTGAAAATACTTACAAAAAGTTTCCTATATACGCACAAACTCCCATAATTTAAGTATTGAAACGTGTAGCTATTGGGAAAGTTATTCTCATAAAAAAGGGTTTAAAGTTTTAGGTATTTTGAAGAAAAAAGAACTTTAAAAATCTGTCATTGCTTGGCCTTCTCCAAGTACGGGGTAATTCTGCATAAATAAAGCAAATATTGTAAAAAAATAAATTTCTTAAAGACAATTAAAAAAACACATTAAAGAGATAATTTTATTTTCTGACTGTCTTCTGTTCGACCTTGGCATACATATTGCACATATAATTAACTGCTGAATCCTAACCACTATATTCTGAATGAGCCCAATTCAAACACAATACACAATGGTACTAAATTTCTTTGTCTCATCTGAATTCACTGCACACTCCTCATTTTTTAATGTTGGATATAAGGTAACGGAACCAGTAGTTGACACCTTAAGAAAAATATATACAAATCTGGCAATAAAACAGTTACATAGTTAATTAAAATATTTTAATTAACTATGTCTTAGGATAGTTGTGAATGTTGGTAAATAAGAAACTAACTGAAAATATTTACAAAATGTAATATTAAACAAAAAATGTTAGATTTTCTTACGGGTTGCAAATTAACTAGTAGATGATATTAATTATTTTCAAAATTTCAGTAGTTGACACCTACAGGATCCAGTAATTGATGATATTTTAACTATCCATCAACTTCAAACTTTTTCGTAAATTCAACTTCATCATTGTTGCACACTTCTTGTATAACACACACACACAAATTTATATTCCTTTTTTTTACCTAAAAATGACACAAGAATGTAATCACCTACTTTATACACTTGTGTGGAGTTTTGTCCATTGTTAGGAATATTTTCAGTTGTCAAATCTATATTACATTCTTCAATTTTAAAATCTAAATTTGTATCTTTTTCTGTGTAACACACTTTATCTGTTTGTTTAATATTGTTTGTACCATTCCACACAAAACTGATATTATCAAAACTATCACCAAACTCTTGCCATTCTTCACAAGTCTCTGAATCTGAAGAAATAAATACTTTTCTTTTGTGTGTTTTTCTTTTATTTCCTAGAAGTTGAACTTTTTTTTTTTCTTTATTTATTTTTTCTCGTTCTTCTTTTTTTCGTTTTCTTTCCTCCGCCCTTAGTTTTTTATTTTCCTCTTGTACCGTTTTTTTCCATTTGCTTTTTCTCGTGACATTATTGCCATTGTTTTGCTAACTGAAGGTACTTTTTACTTTTTCGTTCTTAGCTCATTTTAATTGCTTTGACTGTTTGGGCTCAGGCCAAAATAGAACTCTTTTAAATGGAGATATAACCACATAAGATGATGTTGACAGTTGTCTCAATTGCAGGGCTTCTGTTTGACTTCTTTCTGGTGTAAAGGCAGATTCATCTCCATTAAACAATCGTGAGGGATCATTCCAAACTTCCTCATACTTATATTCTGTTACATAAGTTTTAATTTCTTGAGACTAATTTAATATACTTTTCTTAGTTACTGAAGTTCTACTTATTGTTAAATTTTGCAGATACTTCTGGATTTCGTTTCAAAAAACCATAGTACCATTTCCGCCCAGGTCTATTTGATTTAAAAGGGTTCTTTCTTTTCATTTCTTGTATTAACTGTTGAACACTGGTAAGTAAAGCTTCTTTACCAATTGGAAACCCAGCTTTTGCCATTGTGAAAATCCAAAGGACAATATTTTTTTCTTTTTCCTTCGTAAAACTGGAATCTGGTCCATTTGTCCAAATTTTGACACACTTTTATTAATTCTAGTAATTATTGTACTTCTGGGTACTCCATTGTTTAGCTGCAGAAGCAACTGCTGACCATTTGAAATCGCAGCTAATGCAGATTCCATTTGCTCTTCTGAATACTGAAACATATTTCCTTTGGTTGGAGGCATCATCAAATATCTGAAATAAAGAAACACCAGTAATTGACAGTCATATGATCTAGTAAATGACATGCTGTCATCTACTGGTACAGATTGAAATATCCCCTCGAGAATATTTTAGAAAAAACAATGCACTTTGAGAAGGCTTGTAAAGCGTTTTTAGGACATAACTTTAACGATCATTTCACAGTAGTTGACATCCATTTATAATATTGTAAACAATGAGATAGCCACTTTTTAAGCATATTTTGAGTTTGCTTATAGCTTGCAATATACATTGGGGTTTTACAATAATTTAATACAAACAAATAAACATGACATATGTTTAACACTTCTTAACACTTTTCTTTAAAAAAAATACTAATTTTTTCCACAACACAACTGCCATTTACTGCCATATTGAATTTGCTAAAGGTATAAAGTTTTAACTTGTAGGATGAACAGATAAATGGCCCTATTATTCTAAACTGTAGATTTCTGGTTTCTAATAATAAAACTTATTACTTAAACTAAGCTTATTTTGTGAAAATTAAACTTATATTTTCAACTACTGTATCACTGTCAACTAATGGTTCCCATACCTTACATCATGTGTTTCATCATCATCATCACAAAGCATACTCTCATATCTTTCTGCCAAAAATAATGAAAATTAAGTGTAAATCAGAATCCACTTGTGAAGCAGTAGGTACATAGACCAAAACTCTTAAAATCTACTGACATGCTTGTTAGATTTAACGTTTAAATCAAGTCAACTGTAGTTTAATTGTTGCTACTAGTCTAAACTGTTCCTATTAACTAATTACATAGCTACTTGCTACTACTAATTACATAGCTAATTACGATGTATGATTTGTCACTAGAAGAAATAAGCTAAAACATTATTTTTGTACAAGAATGGTTAAATTCTCAATATATAGCTTACAGATTTTTCTGTGGGTCTATTCATAACCATTCTTTTTATTTTGATTAGTTTAAATGTAAATTGGATAATTTGGAAATTTTATATTAGATCACCTGGAAAAATCAAATGGCTTGGACGATTTTACAGGCTTCTCCTCAGATGCTGTACCTTTGGAAAGCAAGTTTTTTAATTGGACATTATGAGCTGACAATGTTTTTATTTTTTGAATTAGTTCCTAAAAAATGAATGTTTAAAATTATAATTAAAATCACAGGATTGGAAACTTTAAACTATTTTACCTCTTTGGAATAATCTTCTAAATTTTCTATTACATCAGTTTTATTTTGTTTTTTCTTTACTTTTGGGTCCATTTTTTTATAATAATTCAGATGAAAATTAGATGTATGATAAAAAAAATGGTACTTATAATAGGTTATGTTCTTATCACAGATCACCTACTCTTATATTTACTTGTTTACAACTATAGACTATAGAGGCATGACGCATGCTTCTCTATATTCTTTAAAAAAAAAAGAAACAGATTTCATATGGATCAATAATTAATAATTATTATAGTCCAATAGTTCAATCGTTGGAGTTTTGACCTCTAAAAATCATAGGAACAAGCTGAATGTTGCTGAAAATGTCAATTTTCGGACCCCAAAATAGCTGCAAAAAAGTTTGCCACTTTTTCCCACAGCTTCGCCCTAAAACGTCCCCTCGTAAAGTTGGGAAAAGAGAAAAAATTGATTTATCAAAAATCTGTACGTCGTAGAAAAAAATGTTTCATATAAAAAATGTAGCTGAGATAATTTTGAACAAAAATGTTTATTAGAATTTTTTTGTATAGAATGAACCGTTTTCTGAGAAACAACAATTAAAACGACCGGATATTTGATGTATTTGAGGTCGGATCATTCGGATGTATTTGGTTTGGATGTATTTGAGGCAAATGAAGTCGGTTTTTAAATACATACAAGTTGCGCGATTTTAGCCATTTTTAACGATTCTCGTGAGATCAATAAAACTTATCATCACTTTCGTCCATCGAGTTAGAATCTATTGTTAGCGCCTATTGTTTATTATTCTGTGGCCTAATCTTCAAAATTATGACATTAAATTTCGATTTTGAGATTTGGCAACAAATATGATGCATTTGAAATATGTCTAAAACACGCATAATTTAAACTTAAAAGACATAGTGTAAACTGGAGAGACTAATATTTGGAATAAGAAATATAACAATATAATTAAAAGAGTACGAGATTTAGAACACAGTAAAAACACGAAAGCCGATCATGTTATGGAAAAAGAAATAAGACATGAACTAACGAGGAAAAGTTTACAGCAAAAGCGGACCAGGAGGAAGACGAACCTCTTATCTTGGGATTTTAAGAACTTTGTTTAATATGATTATTACATAGTATAAAACTGTGATTATTATATAATATCCTAAGATCTTCACCCTAAGAACAAAGAACCATGTGAATGGTCTTTAATAAAAGTCCACATAACTTAACATACATATAATATAATAATCATGGATGGCATGGAAATAGTTGGCAATATTTTTTATTAATAAAATTAAAGTAATGAAATTTTAATATTGCCATGGACGTATAAACTTATACGTCCATGAATAATGCCATCATACAAACGTAAGAAAAGTTGTATACCTTGTAGAAGGAAATGAGTCATGCATACGTCATATCCTTTTCTTTCACATTTGACTTGACTGATGTGACCCTTCCTTCCTACTTTCATTAGTTTACGTCATTGGATATATTTTCATGTCAATGCCGAATTAGTGAAGTGAATAGTGTTAAAAGTATCTTAAAGTGATTTTAAACTTCTTTTTTTTACGGAAATTAATATATTTAAGAATCGGTTTACTTACTTACATATTATTTTTTAGTGTTTAATTACGATTTAATAAGGCTACAGTGAAGTTTTATTTTCTAGGTAAGGCAATCAAAATGGCGACCGCATTATCATGGAAGTTGATATAATTAAGTTTAATATTTAACAATCTATCTAGTTTTTATATGCTTTCTCAGAATTCTCATTAAAATTATTCACTTCAATTCAAGCTAGTAGTATATTTATCAAATATCAGTTAAGTACTAAAAAATATTCACTGGTCAAGAATTGCTTTTGGTTAATATAAATTATCGAGAAAAGATATACCTATTACAGAGAAATATTTATAAAAATGATATACACATAAATTTTTTTGTTTTTATTTAATTAAAATTAGATTTCACAACGGGTTTTTCATTGATCGACCTATTTAATTCATCTGTCATAAATGGAAATTTATTGTAATATGAGAGTTTATAGGTATATTTGTATGAGATGAGAATAATTAACTTACTGATTGACTATTTCAAAGAAATCATTATCATTTATATAAAACAGTGATAGGTATAACAAAACTAATCTGACTAGTGTAGTAAAAGGGTGGGATCTCTAGGCAGATCAAATTTATATCAATGAATTCTACTTCACTTTCTGATGATTATACAATGATTTTTATTATCTGGAAAACGTTATTTTGTTATTTATGTAATTTTATGTAGCCCTTTCATCAGATTAACAAGCTGGTTAAATTTGTCTTCATCTTCTTCCTATCTTACAATCCTAACCTTACGCTACCCTCCAGAGGCTTGTGAAGCTGATTCATATTTGAGGGTGGCAGATATGACATCGTCCAGCTTCTTGTAACCAGCTAATTGCAGTTTCATGATCACAAAGAGCATCAATAAATGTTTGAATGACCAACTTTTCCACCATTGTTGAATAAGCATAAATATGGTGCTAAACTAGCAATTTCTACCTCATATTCTTGAAGAACCACATCTTGCTTCTGTCTTCAATTTTTGAGCTGTGACTGTTAGACAACTAAGTGTTCGTGACTGTAGCACATGTTTAATCTCCTCTTAAGTTAGAAATCATCTGTCTTCTCTACAGCTATGGTCTGAAGCACATCCAAGGCATAGCCTCAAAGAGCAATAGTCAGGTTTACAGTCTTTTCTGGTTCAGATCTTTCATTTCTTCTTGCAGCTGATTTGAACTGTTTCATGTAATTATCCCATGGCAAATTTCAGTTGAGAATTGACGATGAAAAGAATGACTGTAATTGATCGAATTCTTCTGTTGCTGTCCCTGTTTCTTCCATCTCTTTTTAATTTCTTTCAGTTCAGAAGAGGAAATCTTTGAGATCTCTTATATCTTCTCTTCAAAAGACAAAATATCAGCAGCAGAAACTTTGTTTTCTAGACAAAAACTATCGTTTATTGCCTAAAGAAGTAATGTCTATAGAGACTTGGGAAATAGCAGAAACTTTCAAAACATTGTAAGAAACATTGGAAATATCACAAGAAACTATGCTTTCCAACAATGTGATCAGCAGAAACTTTGCTCTCCAACAATGTGATATCACCAGAAACTTTTGAATTTGATGAATTAACAGCAGCATGCTTTTGTGCTCAAATACATACGTTTCTGGTTAACCCTCTTCATCCAGGGCGCGCTTCAACCTTTTTTGGACAGAATTTAACTCTCTCTTTCTAATTCCCGTCGAAAATCTATCACTTCATTTAAGTATCTCACTTCTGACACCAATGCAATGTTTATTTTAACACATACTAAAACACTGTGAACTTATAATGTTTATTTATTTAACAGTACAAATATATTTATCAGACTGAACTCCTAAAATGTAACTGACTGTATTAAATTTATAATCCACTTCATTCTTCCAAATTGTTCTAGAATTCAGTTGAATTCTCGTGATGTCAGAACATCCATAGATGTTCTGCAAATGCCTAGTATATTAGGTCAAGGGCATAGCAAGAGCTGGCATAACAATTGAATACAAGCTAGTATGCCTCCTTGTCTAAGACTTCAGTTTGCAGATGATGGTTGTCTAATGGCCTTGAACTTTTACCCTTTATGTTTTTTTTACCTCCTGCTTGTTTTACGTATTTCCCTGATATTTCAAGGCTTACCATTGCTCTGTTACACAAATCAAAGGTTACCACAGTTATCAAGAGGAAAACCTAATTAGTATGGTGAATCAGAAAGTGAAAGCTATTGGCAGACCTTGTTATTCTAGAGGAAACAATATTAACTTTATGCAGTAATTATGGTGCAGATACTCTACCATTTGAAAATTTAAAAACAAAATAAATAAAAACATCTTTTTTTTTATGACAGAGTAATTGTGATATATTAAATAAAGAGATATTTATGGATATTTTACTAGATTTTTGCAAATAAGTGTATTTACTTTTTAATTTTTTATACTTATTGGATGGAATTAAGACAAATTCTCACACCCACTTAGCGTGGGGGTGAACATTCTGTTTTTAACATTAATATATTATTTCCAACAATATGCTTTTCTTTATAGGTCGTTAAAAATGAATGATACAGAAGTAGCATCCATTCCACCTCCACCAGGTACTATCGACAATCCACCTTTGCCTCCAGAGCCACCTTCCAGTCCACCACCGCCTCCACCAGCTACAGAACATCCTCAAACACCCAATTTGTTTTTACAAAACCAAAATTGGGCTAACTATAATAATTATGTATCTTACTATCAACAATATGCCCAATATTATCCGTATCTCTTTATGTCAAACTCCTATCCAGCTTATCATAATCAATTTAATAAAAAGGATGACTCGGTTCAGCCACCTTTGCCTCCAGGTTCTCCAAATCCGCCATTGCCCTCTGCTATGTCTAATAATATTAGATCTCCTCTATTGAATTCGCCAAAGCAATTTGGCCATATTCGGTTTCAGTTAAATAGTAAACGGTTGCCTAATCCTAATAGTAATCCCATAATGAAGTTACACTCTTCAACTAGTGGCGCTGCTAAGAAAAGAAGGAAAAGAAACAAGAATAATCAAAACAATACCATCAATAATCAAAACTTGAATATGAATATGAACAACACTCCTCCACTGCCTCCACCAGAGTTATCTCTTCCCAAACCTGCACCTCCTCCACCTGAACTTCCACCTGAACCACCATTACCCCCTATGCCAGTTGATGTGAATCCACCATTGCCTCCTCAAGAACCACAAGACTGTATGACACAGAATGGATTATGTAATCCTTCTGAAGATTGGCCTGAATCTCTAAAGGACTATGTACTTCGCAGTTATGCAAAATGCAAGACTGAATTTGATAAAAATCAAGTTCAAATAATTTTAAAAGGAAAAATAACTCAAGCATGCCAAAATGGCCAACTTTATAAAGATTGGTCTAAAGAACCTCTACCTAACATTCACAGTGAAAGACAACCTTTCACAGGTCAAGTCAAAACTGTGCCGGGACAGTTGAGCCAATTTCAGAACAACAATAAAAAAGGACTGTCGCCTGGTTTAGGAGCTAGATTGGGTTCAAGGACAAGTATTGCAAGTACTTTAAGAGGAAAGAGTAAGTCTTCTTCTAGGTCTAGGTCTAGGTCGCCTGTGGCAAGAAAGAAATCAACGTCAAGGAGTCCTAGGAAAAATGGATCTTACAGGTAACTATATTATAGAGTCTATACAGATAAATGTTTATTTACGTTTTTCGAAAATACCAATGATATGCCCATATAAAAATAATTATATATTAATGACAGTAAACCATGAGATATCAAATATCAATTAATAATTCTGTCAATTCATTAATGTCAGTGTTATACGTTTTGGTAAGTTTTTTATATAGTTTAAACTAAAAAACTTTTTATCTCTACGAAATAAACAAGACAAACACATTAAACAACCCTTACTATTATTTTATTAGAGACAAATATTATAATGTTATAATAATTGAGAAAAATTATAGACAAGTCTCAAAATTGTTAAAAAGAGGCTCTAAATCATCATCTTCTTGGGGGTAATAGTGCAATTAAGTCGTTTTACTTTTGTTTTTGGTAATGGTAATGGTAATGGTAAGTAATGGGATTGATGGTAATTGGGCTGGAAATGTTACTTGCTGTCTTCCATACCTCATGAAGTCCACCTCATATATATTTTGATTATTGAAATCGGTTTTATAAAAGAGCTTTTCAATGTGTTCTTGTTGGACTTGGAGAAAAACACATATTAACAGTAGGACAGGCTCATTGTTAACATTCTTTTTTCTACTTACAAAAGGAGCTCTGGATTCACTGCATTCATTAATGTGCAGGTGATACATCTTTTCTATTGTAATTTCCATGCCTAGATAATTTCTCTTGCTGCTTTCTCTGGAATAATGACTCTCATACTTTGGGAAGGAATCGATATGTTGATGTATACTATTTATGGTTTCGGTAGGAGTTTTATTGATTGCCCTGTATCTTTTTCTTTGAACAGCTTTTATTAAACCTGGCTCAATTTTTTTTCAACATATGTACTCACTACCACTAAATTAGATATACAAAGTGTGTTTAAAAACATAACCTTGCACACCTTCAATCAGTGATTGTTCACTGTAAAATAGTAGTGTAGTGTAATATTTTTAGATTTGGTAGAGTTTGGGTCTCTTTTTCTTGATCGAAGACAAGGTTGGATGTCGACACATAAGAAGGTAAATTACTTTTTAACATCTGAAACGTTTGTCTCAGTCTAGTATGAGTTGAAGATTTTTTGTCTTTCATATTCTGGCAATCTTTCAAAGCATATCATGCGACACATGCAAGGAGGCTTTAACATTTTTGCAGGCATGTTTTCGCCACTTTTACTGAGATACTCTTTCTCACCAGGTAGTTTCCGTTTGCAAACATTACAGGCCCAATTTTGTTCATTTACTATATGTTTAATACCCGGAATTTTTAAATTTCATGGGTTTGGAGAGTCCAATCATAAAAAAAATTTGATTGTTGGTATACATGTTCCTAAAGTATAAAAAAAAATTGCCGGTATATTCATTGTTTACCTTGTCTGTGGCAGCCGCTAAGGTTCGATAGTTTTTGTGAGGTCGGCAATTTTCATTTATTTAAAAAAATGGATCAAAGAATTTATATTAAATCTTGCTTAAAAAATGAAATGAAGAGTAACAAAATGTTTGAAATGTGTTAACAAAGGCCTATGGTAAACATGCTGTAAAAAACTATTGTTTTATGAGTTAAATCCAAACGTAAAAAAGTGACAAATGGTTATGAAAGACCCCGCTGAATCACAATCAGAGAAGTCGGTGATGAAGTTGGTATCAATTGACTCGTGGCATGACATTTTTTCAAACGTTTTGGGTATGAAACGCGTGTCAGCAAAGTTTGTTCCAAAATTTTGAATTTTGAACAAAAACAGTGGCGAATAGAAGTTGCTCAGAAGTCACTAAATGACGTAAATGACGATTAAAATTTACTCAAAAGGGTTATAACGGGTGACGAAACATGGGTTTATGGATATGACATCAAAAACAAAACTAATGATGCCCCAGCTTCCATATTCGCCAGACATGGCTTCGTGTGACTTTCCTATTTCCAAAAATAATAATAACTTTTAAGGGCTGCCGTTTCACAAGCATAGATGACATTAAAAGCGCGTCACTGATAGTACTAAAGGCTATTCAAAAAATCGAGTTTGAGAAGTGTTTCAAGGATTATCAGAAGCGTTGGCAAGAGTGCATCATATCTTATGGGGACAACTTTGAAGGAGACAACATTAATGTAGACGAATAAATAAATATTTTTTTCAAAAAAGGAAAATTCCGGGTATCTCTTGAACACACCTTGTCTGTCCTTCCTTGTCTTTGTATAACATCTGACTTCTGCATGTCGAATTCGCCTGTATATTTTCTGGTTAAAAATGTTCGCAACTGCTTTTCCGCATTCCTCATCATACTCTTTGATGTTTCTGTCTCTCATAACTGTCTCAGATAGTTTCTTCTGCAGCTACCCTTAATTATCTTGTTTCCATTCCTCATCTGCAGTCAACTTCTCTCTGTTCAGTGAGTTTTCCATGTAGAACATTTTGGTAATATTGTTTTTTTGCTGGGTTCTTGAACATACCCACATACCATTTGTTGTGCCCTATGTTTGTCTCTATTATCAGTAGTTGTGCCACCATAAGATAGTGATCAAAATTAGCTTTGCAATATGTTTTGATGTTAATAGTGTCTGTTGCTCATCTTTTTGATACAAGAATTTATTCAATTTGGTTGGTTTCTGATAATTTCCACATCTGTTTATGGCTTTTTGTTCTCCAGAAGCTGGTGCTGGTAACAGCATAATTATTTTCTGTTAAAAATTATCCTGAATGCCGTTATAAAAACTGAATTTCAAAACTGCTTAGCGACTTAAATTTAAGATGCCACACGCTGGGTGATGAAGACTAAATATTTTGAGATATATTTATTAAAACGTTAATTATTGACAACCATTCACTTTTGGATTACCTGCTTCATAATAAGTGCATTAGAGACAAACATAGCAAAGCAAACTTTTTCTTATGTTTCACACTGATTAAAACCAATTTTTTTTCCAAATATCTTATATGTTTACAAGAAATTATATGTGGCATGTCTTAATGTTCGATAGTTACATTTGTTTGGTTTTTTTCTGTAAAGATTAACTTTTATTTTCAGTGACACTTCTACCTCCAGTAGTGAAGATAGCTACAAAAGCGACTCAAAATCTTCAAGACGGAACAAGAACAAAATATCCGACAGGTTAGGTGTCTCAAAGAATAAAAATCAAAAGTCATCTAAGAAACAGAAACCGAAAGACAAAAAATCTAGTTTCTATTCGACTTTTGGCAGTGAAGTTGAAGAAAATAAAGAAGTCCTACAGCAAAGGGCTGCTAGGTTTAGTAACAATAAATCTAATGTTAATAATGGATATGAGAAAAATGCAAGTTTTGTTATTGATAAGTTTTCTGATGATAACCATTTAAGTGGGAACTTTGACTGGTCGGATGGTCACATTGTGGGTACTTGTCAGGATTTAGAAAAATCATTCCTTCGACTGACAAAAGCCGTAAATCCGTGTGAAATCCGGCCAATCGAAGTCCTTAAATTATCGTTACAGAATGTTAAGGATAAATGGGTACAAAAGCAGGATTATTTCTACGCGTGTGATCAACTGAAGTCCATTCGTCAAGATTTAACGGTAATATATTGTTTTTTATTGATTAAATATCGAAACCTCATAATTCAAAATTTACAACTTTTTCAGAGAGTAAAAAAACTTCGATGCTTAGTACATATTTTTTCTTTCTTAGTATTTATTTAATTATTACTTTGAAGAAAACATGCCAAATCATAGTTTTCATGAATCTGGTGTTTTGCTAGACTACGTTTCACGTTTAGAAAATAACATTGCGAAGATAGGGCCATGTATTTCTTATGGACGATAGCAACGCGGCGTTGCCACGACACACACAAGCACAATTTAGGGTTGTATAATTTGTATTTTCGTTTCCACAAACATGAATTAAGTTAATGTTTTTTAACCTAATTGACCAAAAGTGCCCATTCGAAACAAGAGATGAAAAGTAGGGAAAATGATTTTAATTAGATAAATAGTATTTACAAAAGATAATTTTATTTTATCTTATTTTAATTATAGTAACGACAGTTTATTTGTTTTTCGGTGAGAATACGATATGCCATGAATCATATAAATCAGTAGAAAATATTGACCGCTTGGAATGCGTATATCTAATTACTAATTGCAACTTAAAATAATACGATGTGCGTATGTCAGCTATTTTATGTCGTCTCTGACTACATAATGATAATAAGGCTTTTATTTAGTAGTTATTCTGACTTTACAGTTAAATATTAATTGAAAATGAAAATTCAAAAATTAAGCAAAGGGAATATCTTGGACATCCGTGCAAAAGAGAGTGTCTGAGAGTTTTGGCAACACTGATCTCCATAAGCGTAATGTTATTTTCTTAACGTGAAACAAAGAATAGAACATTCGGAACAATATTTCAACCCAAATCTTCATAAATCTAAAAATGGCTAATTTTTGATTTATGACGCTTCTATATGTAACTTTATTTTTTTTCAATTTTAATTTTATTTACCAATATTATCATGTGTGTTTCTGTGTTTTAAATGTCTGTTAGGGATTATCAAGCCAAAATTTATGCCACTCTACAATGTGTGAGTTTCTTTTATAAGATACAAGATGTGTTTGAAAAAGCTTAAAAGAAACATTTACTTTTCGTAAAGGGAAGCATAAGAACCATCCAAAGAACAGTTCTTATGAAACTGTGTTATATAAACAAGACACATTAGGTCCTTATCAGAAACGTGATTAATTATTCACTCAACAAGAGTAAAAAAATTACATTCCAAGATAATTCAGATCAGGACTACTGAGAGGCCTTACCGACCATTTCATCCCGGACCATATAATCTTTGGGCTATGAAGTAGCAGCTGATGTTTCTGTTTTAGACTCTTTCCTGTCCAGTAGTGACTATTCTAACTGTTGACGTGTCCATTCAAATGAAAGTTGGATTCTTTGCTAAAAAAATGTTATCATTTGTAAATCTTCATTGTCAATTATCATAATCAGCATTATTCAGTTGGTCAACCGGATTGTATAGACTCTAACCTTCAACACTCTAGCACTCTAGACCTCTAACACTCAATTTTTTTAAAAATCAACTGCAGTTAATTAAACTAGCTCAAATCGAATTAATCATTTTTTTTATATTTGACTTGTTTCTGAATGGATAATAATGTATTTTGGCTCGCACCGAAAAAGCGCTAGGTGTCCCCAAGTATGATTTACGACGTGCATACACCGCTTCATTACAATGTCAACACAATAAAATCCCTCTATTCAAATTCATTTATTGATGTAATTTTGCCAGTAGCCTAACGCACGTCAAAATAAAAACAGAACAATAGTTCTATTAAAAAATTTTAAATTCTAATTGCATAAAAACACAAATCAGATTTAGTTAAAATGGTTTAAAATTGAAATTCCTTATAATATACATTTTTTATTAAAATTTTCTTAATTTTATTTTTTAACTGATTTTTGGAAGATCCTTTACATTATCAATTTGTTATAAAATTTAATTGTCCAATACCCTGATACAGTTTGACACCCATTTAGCCTCCAGTAGGCTGAAACAAGATCACATCTGTGTCTAGTGTTATGATCGTGCACCTCTTCATGAGCCACAAAGTGCCCCCCACTTCTCTTAACAAACATAAGGTTCTCATATATTGAAATGATTTCAATATATTAAAAAGGATACAACTTAAATGGATTTTTATGAGTTTGTTGTTCATGAATTTCATGAAGCCATCACAATGTGGGTTCGACTCTGAAATAAAAGAGAGAAAAATATTAGTAAATTGTTAAATAAATTAATTTTGACTTACCTGGTATAGTTTTAATAATTTCTGAATAGTATAGTTGCCTAGTGTATAGGTGAATCGTCTAAACCTTAAAAAGAACAAAAAAGGAGAATTCTTAAAAAATATTTAAACATAGAAATTTTAAAAAACATCAGAAAATAAACTGTCAAGCAAGTCTGTGGGAGCTAAATTAATAGGGGTTTTGTTAAATAAGAAATTACAATGATGTGGAGATGAAAAGAATAAATTGTATTAGCATTGTAATAGAAGTTTTATATCTGAACATTTTTTTTATAAATTCCCAAATTAGATGTGATTAAAGTGATTATGAGAAATTAATGTGGATTGACAAATGTGTCAGAACAGGACAGTTTTATGGTTTAAAAAAAATAGAAGACGAAAAGAAAAAGAACGTTGGTTGCTGTTAGCAACGGATAATTGGTTTTTTGGAGAAGCCGACAAGGAATTTTTGAACGAAGGGGAGCCCTGAAACTGTGGAATAGGTCGGGAGTGTTTTTTAACTCGTCTAATTAGAACTTTAGTTTTTCCACAGTTTCCACAGCAGAGATATCCAGAATTTGTTCCAGAGAGTAAGAGAAACAATTTGACTTATAAATTATTATTGGAGTACAGAAATGTCATTTAAATTGAGAAAATTAAAATTCAGGAATTAACATAATTGCGATAGGCCTTAAGAATTGAAAATATTAATGATCATTAAATTAAAAATAGAATAGTACGTACCTTAACTTCCGAAGAGAGGATTGATATTCCAGTTTCACCGATTATTTTGCGAGTAGTTAGTTTTCTTTAAAGAAATCAGAACTGTTTTAAAGTGAGGTTGGATAATAATTTTGGGGGTCATTTGAAATTTTAATTATATTTGAATACAAGTTGAAAGTCAGCGGAGTAAAGTGTTCAGTTTCTTTTTCTTTATAGTTCATTAAAACACTTTATAAAGTTGCAATATTTATTTAGTTTTTAGGTACTTGTAGAGAGTCTCCACATTTTGTAATAAATTTTTATTGTCACGACACTAAACCACATTAAGATTTACACGATTCCTATTTTTGTAAATTTTTAAAGGCAACCCAAGTTGCAGACGAATTTTATTGTTTATATTAAATTTGTTCAATATTAATAAATAACGTGCTTCATTTGGGTTAATTTATCAAAAGTCTAAAGTAAATTTTGGTTTAATTTCTTTTTGAACTCTACCAGGAGACTACAGAGTCGACGTCACACAGTGACAGATTGCTTAGAACACATAATTGAGCTAGCCGAGGTATATTCAATTAAACAACGAACCACATGTTTTAAAAATTACAACATTTATTATAAATAAAAATAAAATTAATAAAATACAACTTTTTCAATATATACGAGGAGTGCACAGTAAGAATTCCTAGAGTCTCATAGACCAATCTACAATCATCCATAAATCCAAGACCTGTAAGAACTCTATAGCCTTACGTTGCAAACCAAAGACTCTCGCTATCTCCGCCGAATGCCCCCCCAGACCAAGATTGCAGATGTCAGTCATAATGAATACTACAAGGTATTCATTATGATGAATGAAGATGGTTGAGTGACTATATCTGCACAACCTTGTGTTAAATAATGGTTAGTGTATCAATTTTCTATCTTCATTTTTAAAATGGGGACTTTTTTTCAAAGGCTGTTCACAGAGTACAACTGCAATGTCTGATATTATTTTCTGTCAATTTGATGTAATCCAACTTCAAAAAGTCTCTGAAGCTTTAATAATGACTCACTGGCAGTGGTCTAATTCAAATATTTTCATATCAGTTGTAGTTTGTATATTAGGTAATGGAATTTTCCTTGTCTTAAACTTGAATATGTCTCGTTTAAGTGCAGTCTTAAATAACTTCTTTGGGAATAGTATTAACAACTTTTATTCATACACTGTTTGTCTTCAAAAATCTGTCATTATGACTTAATAATTAACAAATTCAGGGTATTTTAGGAGAAAACAATAGTCTTTTAATCGATTTACAAAGTTTCTCACAATCACAATCGTTTTGGTTCTGTGGCTTCCGAAATTATCTTTCAAACGGAATTGTTTCAAACTGAAAAGTATTTTCATCTACTGTTATTACCCATATTTGGATACATTAAGATCTGATTTTTATATGCTCTATATATTTTAAACATTTTCAGTTATTTTAATTTTAAATCTGTTATAATCAAATTGTGACATGTAATAAGATATGCTGTAATTATGTTTTTATACATTGATGTATACTTAATACATATATACTTGTTAAATATTAAAGATAGTTCAAGCACTCCTGACCATGGAGCTGCGCGAAGGCGGAGTCAAATTCACGTAAAGGCAGAAAAGTTCTATTGTAAGTGGAATTATACAGTGCATAGTACAATGCGTTTCGCAGGGAAGTGGGGACTAAACCAAATTTCGTCTACTACGCCGTGGTCAGGAGTGCTTGCACGCACATATACGCACATTATAACTACATACAAGCTCCACATATACTTATATTTACTGTACTATTTTCTTACAGGTCCAAGGAATAAGGAACGAATTCACTGTAGAAGTTTATGAAACTCATGCCCGGATAGCCATCGAAAAGGGAGATCATGAAGAATTTAATCAATGTCAGGCTCAACTGATTTTGTTATATCAAAATATAGGGGGTTCAAATCGTACTGAATTTGTAGCTTACAGGATCCTTTATTATATATTCGTCAAGAACACCCTAGGTAAATTTTTCAATGAAAATTACTGCATTACTATAATAAAAGGTGGATTTAAAGCAATTTTAAAAAATACACTGCTCGCCAATTAAAGTGGAACACTATATATTTTCAGTAAAATTCTCCAAATTAAAATTTGGAGGATATTAAAAATAAATGAAATATACAAATTTATTGTAATGGAAAATAAACTAGTACATATGTTAGATAATCTGATTTCAGGATCATGCAGTAAACACACAAACTCATTATTTAACCAATTAACGCCCAAATTTTTTTTTTTCAAATTTCAAAATTTTACTGATACATAATTATCAGTAATGTTGTTCTTCATGAAATTATTTTATATATTTGAATTTTGAACTGTTCTATAAATAGATTACTGGGCGTTAGTATCATCATAATGGACTACCCAAGTCTGACGTTACAATGGGCGTGGTTTTAAAAACCTTTCCAAACATTTCGAATTTGTTTTGGATTCGTTTTTTTTTTAATTGTTTTGTGTCAAATAAGCAATTATTTGAATAAATAATTTGAAATTTCAATAAATAAGGACTTTTTTTATGAACATTCATTCTGTGCGATTGGTATTATTTGTTGTTCATGTCTTTGATCATTTTGAGATAAGGTCAACGTTTCAGCCCCATATATCAAAACCCGTCTTATTAAGTTCTTGTATATGTTGAGCTTTACTGCACGTTTTATATTTTTATTTTTTAAATGTTTCTGGAGACTGAACAGTTCTGTTTGCTATTGCTATGTGTCTTTTTATTTCGTCGCTTGTCGTGTTTGTTGCGTTTACTAGCGATCCAAGATATGTGAGTTCTTTGACTTGCTCAAAGGTATGGTTGTTAATTTGAATTCTCTTGGGTGTTTTTAGAAACCAACGTATATTTGGTTTTTTTCTCGTTTACCACAAGTCCTAATTTACTTGTCGCGTCCGCAGGTCTTGTAAAACACTGTACCATGTCTCTAATAATTCTGCCTATTATAATTATATCGTCAGCGAATGCGAGAATTTGTGTCGGTCTATTAAAAATAGTTCCATTCGTTCCAATATTTACTTTTTTTTAGTGCTTTTTCCAAGACAATATTAAAGAGGAGACACGCCAGCGCGCCACTCTGTCTTAAAATATTAATGTCAAACAACATAGAGTTTTCTCCTTCAATTCTAGCGCATGAGTTTACATTTTGTATTGTTAGTTTATCATCATCATTTGGCTGTACAACTCTACGTGAGTCTTGGTCGCGTTTACTATTTCCCTCCATTGTTGTCGGTCCTGAGCAGCTATTCCCATTGCTGTATTCCCATTTTTTTTAGATCACTGGCTAGTGCTTACTTCCATCTCTTTCTTGGGCGACCAACTGACATTCTGCCATCGGGCAGAATCATTGATCATCACCTTGTTTATACATTTAAGAACAGATTTCATCGATTTCTGAGGCTTTATTGTCTTTGAGTTTAAGGATGGCATTTGACACTTCTTCTCTTGTTGGGCATTCACTGTGTAGTTGACGTTTTAGATTTTGTTGATTGTCTATGTTAAACTTTCTTCAATATCATTTATACTTAGATGTTCGCTGAAATGTTGTGATAAATAAAATGTATGAATTGTATAAGGAAGAATGTAAAAAGAGAATAAAGAAAAATACTACGAAATCTACAGGAAAATATTTAGAAGTTATAAATTCAAATTTCACAAGTCGGTAAAAGACATTTGCAAAGTTTGTGTTACTTATTATGGTAGTCCAAATGACGAAAAGTTTTAAACCGTGAAGTCCATGACAACCACCTTGAAAGAAAAGATGCAGCGAGAAAAAAAAAAGGAGTGGAGATAAACAGTCGGCTTTGGAGAATAGGCAAATATTAGCATTTTATTTCGATCTGCAATTTGTTTTGTCAGCGCCTAAAGGAGCTGCAATACCTTTTTTTTTATGTGAGAAAACTTGCCGTTTATAATTGAGGAGACGGAAACGTCCAGTGTTTCGTATGGGGTGAAACTGAGGGAAAACGCAGTAGTACTGAAATTGCTACATGTATATTTAAATACATCATGTCTTACCCTAATATTGAACATGTCAAAATGATGTCCCACAATTGTGGTGGACAACAGAAAAACTTTTTCTGCCATGTGTCAATATGTTGTCAATTGTTACCCTACTACTATCGGTTTACAGCGTTCTTCGACGCCTTCCGACTCTTAATCGCCATTCTTCTCTATTCAACCATAGGCCTGGAGGGATTTCTCTTTTCTCTAGTTCTTTTTCAATTCCCTCTCTCCAGCTTCTTCTCGTTCTTCCTCTTTTCCTTCTCCCTTGTGGTGTCCACATCAAAATCTGTTTTGGAATCCTGTCATGTGGCATTCTCTCTAACTATTGTATGCTTGACTCCCATCATTTCTCATATTCTCTCATTTGGTATCCAATCTCTTCTTGATTTGCCTGTTGCTCTTCTCTAGAAGTCCATTTCTGTTACTAGTAACAGTTTCTCTGTTCTTTGTTTTATTAGCCAAACTTCACTGCCATATGTGATTACACTTTTAAGTATGGTGTTGTATATGAGTTGTTTGTTCGCTTTAGATATTGTTAGGTCCCACAGAATTCCTTTCATCATGGATATGGCTTTTCTACCCTGTATGTTTCTGTTTTTTATAGCAGCATCGAGTGTTCCATATTGAGTTATCTTCATACTCAAGTACTTGTATTCATCACAGTTTTTAATTTCTACCCCATCGTCTAATATAATGGACTGTTTTGTCCCTCCAATACACATGGCTTCAGTTTTCTTAATGTTGACTTCGAGACCCCATTTGTTATGTTCTTCTATTAGCTTCCGAGTCATGTAACTCAAGTCGTCATGATCCTGGGCAATCAGTATTTGGTCATCAGCGAAACATAAGGTGTACAGTGTAGTCTCGTCATTGAGAGGGATTCCCATGCCATTACATTTTCTTTTCCATAGCTTGAGTGCTTGTTCCAGATAAATTTTGAAAAGGGTAGGCAAAATACAGCAACCCTTCTTTAGTCCTTTCGTGACCTTAAATCCTTCAGATATCCTTGATCCAGTTTTAATTTTTGCAGTCGTTCCATTATAAAGACTTTGGACTGCTTTGATAAGACCATGCTTAATGTTGGTTTGCTGTAGGGTTGACCATAGTTTACTTAGGGGTACACTGTCATATGCTTTTTGTAAGTCTACGTACACCAGGTGAACTTCTTTATTGAAGGCCGGTTTTTTCTCAATAACTTGCATAATAGAGTACAGGTGGTCTACTGTGGATCGCCCAGCTCTAAAACCAGCTTGCTCCTCTGCTTCGTAATATCTGTAATCATTTTCTATTTTGTTCTTAATAAGTTTCCCATACATCCTACTTATTGTGCTGTTTACCGCAATTCCTCTGTAATTTTCACACTGATCTTTGCTGCCCTTTTTGTGGATAGTTGACATGATAGATAATTTCCATTCTTTTGGTAATTCGGCCCCATTCAAGCAGTCTTGAAAGAGTTTTCTTAACTGTTCCTGGAGTTTGTCTGTACCGGCTTTCACTAATTCTGCAGGGATGTCACCGGGACCAGGGGATTTTTCATTTTTCAGGGATTTGGTTATTTCTTCCATCTCTGATTTACTGATTTGTAATGGTGATGAATTTATACGTATACCTATCGTGTTGTCTTCCATGTTAGCAAATTCTGGTCTTTGTTCTGTTCATTTTTTGAAATATTCTTCCCATTTTTCTGTTGTTATTGGTGATATAACGTCTTTTTTCTTATTATATTATTTCTTCTTATTATAGGTGTTGATCTTTTGGCACTTCTGTTCCCATGATTCGTTCTTTTTTTGAGTTATCTTTTTTCTTACTTTGGCTTGTGCTTCTTTGTAAATTGTTTTATCGTTTTCTGTTTTTGTTGTTAAAAATGTTTGGTATGTCCGACGTTTATCTTTAATTTCCTTCTATATTTCTTCATTCCGCCAGTACGGTTTTATTCCTTTATGATTTTCTTCACATTTCCCCAGTGCTTCTTCTGCTGCTAAATGAATCGACCTTTTGATGTGTTCGTAGTGTTTTTCGGTATTTTCAAAACTACCCATTTCGAATTTTTGGTCTAATCGTTTTTTATACAGTAGCTTTACACTCTCATGGTTTAAACTGTCTAGGTTGTACCGTATTTGTTTTATTAACTGATTTGACTCGATGTGCTCTTTTTCGCATCTGTTTGGGAGTACCGTTTTAACTTTTAGCAGATGATGATCGGTGCCACATGATGGCCCTCTGGCTACTCGCACATCTTGTATTTTAATTGTAGTTTTCTGTCTTACAATGCTATAATCTATTACAGATTTCAGATTTCTGGTCTGTTGTATCCACGTGTATTTGTGTACATCGCGATGTGGATAAAATCCATTTACTATTTTTAAGTTATTTTGTGTACATGTTGTTATTAATCTTGTTCCATTATCATTTCTGGTATTTTCGCCGTGTGTTCCTACCACTTTGTTGTTCAATTCCCATCTAACTCTGCTGTTGAAGTCTCCTAGAAGTATGATCTCCCTAGATGATCCTAATTTTATAATTCCGCCATTCAGTTGTTTGAAAAATGCATCTTTACTGTTGACCAATGTGTCCTCATTAATTCCATATACACCTAGTATGGCTATTCTGCTTCCTTTTATCGTGATGTCAATTGTTACCCAAATTTAAAAACAATTGACCATGTGTTTTTATATCGGGTCACTCAGAAATGGAATGTGATTCTGTCCATTCAAAAATTTAATCATAAGTCAAAAAATTACCCTATATACACCCTTGAATAATGGGCACAAATCATAAGATAATAATTCAAGCAACATTTATAGTAGATACATTTTGAACTTAGATGTCAACGACTAAATCTCAAATTCAAGTTAGAAATTGTAATTTAAAAATATGAAGAATGTGACAAAATGTGAAACAAATTTCATATTATACTTATCTAGTGTTCACCTTCAATGGACGCGCAGTCTAAAAAACAATCAGTTAAGGTTATTTTTTTTCTTTTCCAGATATCATGACCGTCATGAAATCTCTCACAAAAGAAGAAAAGTCTGACGAATGCATATCGTTTGCATTAAAAATTCGGTCGGCTTGGGGTTCGGGCAATTTTCATAAATTCTTTTTTCTTTACTGTAGAGCTCCATTCATGACCGGCTACCTCTTAAACTGGTTCATTGAAAGAGAGCGCAAAGATTATTTAAAATGCATTATAAAAAGGTATGTATTTATATATTTTATTACTAAAATTGTTATATTGAAAGGGTGTTGTTTTAAATTTGACTACACTCTGCTAAATATCACTAAGTTGTGATAATAATAACGAACTACTATGAACTATAAAAAAATATCGCAGGTTATTAATTTTTATTCGAATTACAATTCAGTGAAGTTTTGATACCTTAACCCTTAATACCTTTAGCTACACTTTAGTTAGTCAAATTATTCAAGTTTGACCACATTAGTGTTGTTTGTATCAGGACTACGTATATTTCAGTGGATTTTCATTGTTTTTATCATTTGGTACATCGGGAGAGTCATAAAAAATGGGCTAAATGGGTATGTTCATAAGCCAGGAATGATGTTTTACTTAACAATAATTAGCTTATTGGCGGTTTTCCACTAAACGGACAGTTGATTTTATGCTGTTTGTGTTTTCTAGAACAGGAAAAACAAAACTCTTGTTTCCATCAAGCGGACTACATTCTGTTTGTGTTTTGGTTTCGATTCTTTTCCACTGGTTGTTGTCTCGAGGAAGCCAAAGCACAGTTTTTTCAAACCAACATGTTTAGGGAAGGTTTTTTTTATTAGTTGTGGCTGGTTGATATTGAAATCCTTGGAAAAAAGGTTATAGTTTTTTTTTGTTTTTTTATGTATGCAAATTCAAAATAGAAACAGTTGACAAAGCTAGAGTCATCAACACCAAAATTGTTTACCAATGTGTTTGGTTCTGTTGATGCCATTTTTTTTTTTTTTTTTTTTTTTTTTTTTTTTTTTTTTTTTTTTTTTTTTTTTTTTTTTTTTTTTGAAGGCCCACATTTTTTGGGGCATTTAAGAAAGTGGTGTACATTTTCTAGTCAGTTGTATGATCACTTAGGTAATAACTTAGATAATCTGCATAGGCTATAATTTGCAAGGATTTATTAAAAATATTCTATGTGTTATCTATTATGGCGTTTCTAACCGCCTTTTCCAGGACTATTTTGAAGAGGAGGCACGCCAGCGCATCTCCCTGTTGCAGTCCGATATGTGTTTCAAACGCTTGTGATAGTTCACTTTGTATTTCTAAAAATATTTCCAAAGTAGATAAAAAATGAAAAATTTGCAAGTCAGAAAATATGGACAGGAATTAGTTAAATTTTGTTACTCAGTGGTTTTCCAGGTCACTGAATACGAATATAATAACGAAAATAGTCATCGAGGAACCTGGAGCCCAGGATGGACGACGTCTCCTGGAAGATGTTAATTTTAAATCAGTCGACAGTGATTACTCGAGGATTTTCGAGGTCAGTAAATACGAATATGACATCGACGATACTCCTCGAGCTACCTGGTGCCCAGTGTAGATCCCGTCTCCTGCAGTTTTATGTTATTTTTATTCTAAATCAGTCGAAAGTCATTACTCGGTGTCTTCGAGGTAGCTGAATACTAATATTATGACACGGGTGGTTCTCGGGCTACCTGGTGGAGTGTGGACCTCGTCTCTTGGAGTTTTATGTTATTTTTATCAGAAATAAGTCAAAAGTCATTACTTGGGGAGTTTTTAAAGTCGTTGAACACGAATATACCACGTCGATGGACTCGGAAGGTATTTGGTGCTCGGGGTGACCTCATCCCCTAAGAGAGTAAGATGTCTACGCTGGCCACCAGATACTTTGCAGATTGTCACCATCGTAATATTCGTGCTCATCAACCCCAAAATCTCCCGACCAATGACTTTTGACCGATTTCGAATAAAAATAACATAAAAAATTCCAGGGGACAAGTTCCAGGTAGCATTGAGGATCATTATATATTCGTGTTCATCGACCTTGAAAATTCCCCTAGTAACCGCTTTTAACTGATTTCGAATGAAACTAACATAAAGCCTCGAAAACGAGGTTCACCTTGGCACCAGGTAGCTTGAAAGCCCCTCAAGTAATTACTTTCGACTGATTTGGAATGAAAATAACATAAAACTCTATGAGACTTTTTCACCCTGGGCACCAAGTACCTCGAAGACTATCGTCATCATATTTCTATTCAGCAACCTCGAAAACCCACGAGTTATGACTGTCGACTGATTCAGAATGAAATTAAAATACCCCCAGAAGACGATATTTTCTTAGCTGCAAATTTTTCAGTTTCTGTGCACTTTGGAAATACATTTTTCTTATGTCCAAAATGCAATTTTTATTTTATCACTATAAATTTTGTTCACAAACTTTCCTGACACATTTCTGAATAGAATGCAAAAAGTTTCACAGCGAATCATTTTGCTGCGGAAAATTAGTAGGTTTAGTGTTTCGTTTCCTCGCCTATTAGCAAACAACTTTACGCATTGTAGCCATATTATGTCTGATTTTAAACTCCACATATTTCCAAGAGTGCCTTTGGCTACTGCCCTCTTGGTTTCTCGTTATATTTGCTGATTCCAAGTCTCGAGTCTAGTATTGTCCAAAGGTAGTCTACTTCACTCGAATTAGATTTAGACTTGTGCCATTCTGGTTTAGAGGAACTAGTGTCTAAATTCTTCCTTCATAAATTTCATGGTTTTGGATTTCCGGGGGCTTATATTAAGTCGCAATAGTTTGAAGTTCATTCTGTGACTACAGTCAGAGCAAAATCTTGCGTTTTATAATAGTGTAGCTAATAGATAAAATAAATATTATCAAAAACTTATTTTCCACTGATTTATTAAATTTTTCGTAGTCTGAAACTTTTCTGGTAATAAAATTGACATTTTGTCTTTTTGTTTACATATTATTGTAAACTTCTGTTGGATTTTCTTGTGTTGGCAATTGTAAAATTTATTTAACAATAAATCATCATAAGATTGTTAGATAAATTGTTAGATTTGGCACATGACTTAAAATTTGTCGGTTTTATTCTGTTATTCCTGACTAGTGTTAAACAATTTAGTATTTTCATGGCATAAAATCAACATTTTGTCTGTTTATTTGCAAAGTGTTGTAAACTTTTGTTGATTTTTCTTGTATTAGCAATATGGCGGTGTCGCTTATCATTGTATCTGTATAAATAAACGTACGCAGTATTTGAAGTGAGCATAAACAACATAAAAGATACAAATCCTAAGATTTAATACAAGAATATATTTAACAATACACCGTCGTAACATTTAAAAAATCAAAATCTAGGCATTCTTCTTCTACTAACACTGACAAGGTCCTTAGAATATTTATTGATGATTGATTTATAAGCATGATACAATTCTACTCATGAAATTCTTAGATATAAATTTACAGGTTTTGCATATATTCCTTCTATAGGTATCTGTTTACTATTAATATAATATTATGGGATGGTTGTTTGGAAAAGATGAAAAATTTTACTTAAAACATTCGTAGCTTCTGCTGGCATCTAATACTTTTTCGACGTGATTAATATTATCCATTATCCCAGTAGTATGTTTTGCATACTTTATTTTTTGTGTATTGTGTTTTAAAAACTTTGGCTGATTTGTCATGCAGTTGGTATTTTGTGGAGTATAATTTTGTTGTCCCAATAAACAAGACATCTACAATTACTACGTAAGGTATATTTCCCTCAATATATTTGATATATTTTACTTAAAAAATGTATCCAATAATATTCGACGTAGTATATTTTATTGTAATACATTAAAAATGATTTTTAAGTATCTCTATATGGCAGAATTTGTTAAAATAGGTACAATTATGTTTAGGTGAAAACACTCGCAATCTTCCATATTCAATTGTTTCTTTTTGATACAAAGTTATTCGTTTAAAAAAACTATATTGTATATTACAGCTCCATACTCTTTTTAATTATTTTATCCCAATTTTCCCTTAGTAACACATTGGAATAATTGTACATTTTTAAGGGTTTATAGACTGTGCTCAAGAATTATTTCATTCCGACGTTTTGTCTGTAGCTAAGGCAAATGTATACAACAGCTAAGTCTAGGTCCCAGAGAACATAGACGCGTGGTAGGAACGTATTTGTAAGACGTGAGGTATTAGTTTGTTGCCAATAATTGCTCTAGGATCGTCCATGCACAGTAATGTGTGTTCATATTTCTTTAAATATGTACAATCAGGACGGTCCTAAAACAGTAATTATTGGCGATAAAACAAACTATACGTCTACGTCAGCTCCCGCATTGGCTTTGATGTTTGCTGTAGTTGCAGACGAAACGTTAACGTCATAAGAAATAATCCAAGAGCATGGCCTATGAATTGTGAACACAATGTACCATTAGAATACATTACGTGTTCCATATTCCTACCCTATTCCAGAGATAAAAACATAAGTATTATGTGAATATCTTGTGAATTATGTGAGTATCACTTCTATGTCACTCCTTGTTCTATAGAGAACCATCAATAATTAAGTGTTGGATAAGTCTGTTGATGGATTGATGGATTTTTTTAGCACTATAGCTGTTTCGGCAGAATGCCTTTATCAAGTGTCCTATTTTTGATATGCGATTACACTTTATTATCTTTAACTGAATGAATTGGGGAGGGGAGAACCGTTTTTCTCAAGTTAGTTATTCAGAATTATGTCTGTATTTTTTAATTTGCTAATTTTCATATATCCTAATAAAGATAGCTTAAGTCGTTTCTTTTTAATGTGAAGAATTTGAAATTCGTCATTAAAAGAATGATTATGGTCTAGAAGATGAAATGCGTACGTAGAATCTATTTTTCTATTATTGAAACTTCCTTTATGTTCTACTATACGTTTGTTAAAAGTTCTACTAGTTTGACCAATGTAAGGTTTTGGGCAGTCGCCACATTTAAGTTTGTAATAGACCACTGTGGAAGTGCTTTATAGATTTAAAAATTATCAGACTTAAAAACAAACATGGGTTCTCCGTATTTCATATACCTACTCAGACTGACACGACTATACACAATTCATCATCCCATCCTACACAACATAAAAATAAAGCCCTGAAATTTTTCACCAACAGAGAAAAAATCCAGTACCTTCTGCTCGATTACATATACCTGAAAGATAATAAAACCCTAATAAAAATTTTCAAACCCATAATAAAGGAATAACGACATTTGGAACAAATAAAACTTAACAAGTATACAAGGTCTGGCTATTAAATAACGAGACTGCTTATGAAAGAGTCCTGGTGCAAGATCCACGGCTTGTTTTTCCACAACTCCGGCCGTTTCTTTTGAACGCAGCATTGCTAAAGCTTTCAAATAATAAGTTTGGTTTACAGTTGACCCTCTGGAACCCATTCAGTCATCACGATGCCGTTAATCTCGAAAAAAAATACGATTAGCATGGCTTTAAATTTTGATTTCGACATCCTTGCTTTTTTCATTCTTGGCAATGCAGGAGTTTTGCATGGATTGTCGCTTAGATTCAACATTGTATTTGAATATCCAGGTTTCATCGCATGTAATGTTTTTCATTATTTCAGGCTCTTCATGTCACCTCTCAAGAAAATCTGAGCAGATCTGTTGACGGACGAGCTTTTGGTCAGGGGTCAAATTTTTGGAGACCAAATTCGCTCAGACTTTCTTCATGTTCAATTCGTCATGTAAAATTTTTCTGACAGTTTTTTTATCGGCGTTTACAGTCTCAGTAATCATCCGAATGCTCATACGACGATCTCACGCATCATTTCATTTATTTTGGTCATTGTTTGTGGAGTTGAAACAGAGACAGGACAACCTGGACGTTGGTCATCTTCGGCACCCTCTCGGCCTTTAGAAAACCATTTATACCATTCGAAAACACGCGCACGAGATAGATAATTCTCACCATAGGCCTCTTTCAACAAATTATAGCACTCAGTCAGAGTTTTTTTTTTAATTTAACGAGAAATTTCACATTAATCCGTTGCTCGTGTTTTTCGTCACACATTGTTTTCGGCACGAGAAAAAAACACGTTATTTTCTAACCTCTACAGAAAAAATTCTACTACAGCGACAAAAACATATTTTCGTACTGGAAGAGTAGACACTTCCAGCTATCGAACTCACATGCGGTGAGTGCCCAAAAACTTACATCGGTCAAACTGGTAGAACTTTTAACAAACGTATAGCAGAACATAAAAGGGCGTTCAATAATAGAAATCAAGGCCTTAACCTATCTTTATTAGAATCTATGGCAACTAACAAATTAAAAATACTGACAATTCTGAATGACCACCTGAGACAACAGTTCTCGCCTTCTCAACTGATTCAGTTAAAGACTGTAAAGTGTAAACGCATACCAAAGATGGAAATAAAATACATTTAAAAACGAACTTTGCAGAAATAGCCGTAGCGATAAAACAATTATAATAAATTTTGTGGAAGTTATGAAAACAAAAGTTGTCAGGGTTTTATTGTTCCTTAAATAATTGTTTAAACAATTGTGTAATATTAACTCCTTTAATTTTTGGTTTCTGAATGTAAATTGTACATTAGATACTATACATACTATTTAAGATTTTTTAATGATTTCAGTCAAGTTTCAAGCTTGAAATATTTTTTATATACATATTACTACATATAATAAATCGTATAATGATTGTTTGCTTAGGACATAGCATATGCGCTTACTCTTGGAAAACGTAAATACATAAAATATTAGATTCTATTTGTGTTTCAGTATTTTTCTTCCATTTGTGGTATTTTAAGTAACCAAACACAAGGAATGTAAATAATCACTCTCATTTAAATTATTCACACACGTGTTTTGTGGTTGTTAGCACAAAGTATTTAAACTTGCACTTAAAAGTAAAATGGGATTAGGTTTTGTTTTTCAGAGACAGGTGTTTGATATGACTTATTTGGTGATAGTGACTTTCTTTAGCAAACCAATACGTAAATCATGCTTTTTATATGTTCCATAGTTGTTTTACCTTTTTTTTATTAGTTATTGTATAAAGATGTCCAGGAAATATAGCAATATCTGTACCTGAGAGGATCCTAGCTTACAGAGGCAAGTGCTATTTTTTCGATGTATTAACTCTTCCTGGTATATATCTTATCGATTGATTTCAAACTGGATACTGGTCGGAAGTGTATTTTCAGCAAACTGTCTGGTTCAGCAGAGAGTTCAAAAAGAGAAAGGAGGAAGGAATTGATGATAGTATCTCTATAAATTTTCAGCTAGTACTACAAAATCCCATTTTACTTAGTATTCAAACACAACACTGAAGTTTTTAACTAAAATACTATTTACATCCTTGTGACCATTTTAATCATTTTATTAACTTTTGTTTTTATGTTTAGCTATCGCCAGAGCGTTTCTATCGACTTCCTGGTTCAAGAGTTGGCTTTCGAAAATGTGGAGGAGTGTTTCGCGTTTTTAGAGCAGTTTTCTTTAGTTTTCGCCGATTCGGAAAGGACTTTACTCGATTGTAAGAGCAGTATGTCGGCTCTTCCTTGTATCTAGCCATTCAGATTACTCTGATCGGTACAAATTTTCCCGTATTGAGTTCTCACTTATACTTAGTAAAAGTGGTGATTCAACATTATGGTTTCCATCTGCCAGATGGTTTTAATTATTCTGGTAGAAAAAATCGTGGTCTGTTAGAAATTCATTAACAGACGGTTACTGGCCCAGGAAGACGAGGAATAGGAAAAGTGTCTACTCTGTTTAGTAAGCTTTGAATAAATCTTTTTGTTTCAAACCATGGTGATATTTGGTTGCTACAAACGAAGTCTCATTTTTTAATGATTTTTTAAAATATTTTGTCATGTTTTAGTGACAATGGAGATGTTGGTACAACTAATAATTGTAGTTAATGTATATATTTTTTTAATAAAATAATTTATTGAATCCTTTATTTATTTAAATCCGCTCATATTTTTGTATTATGTCAGCACGTTGCATGCTGACTCATTCTATGAGACCGAGAAAAATATTGATCTCCGTGCCAGCTAGGTCTATTTGACCGAGAATTTTAATGTGATTGTGGTGACGTCTCGGCCTGTGTGACCGAGATGGTTTATTCCATCCCAGCTGCCAGTATTTCGGTTTAGAGTACGTTTGTAAATATGAACTGATTGAGCTGGCATAGAAAAAAAGCGACAAGCCAGTTTTTGACTCACATGTTTATCGCTAAGAAAATTCGAAACATAAAAATAAATATTAATATTAATTAATATATTTATAGGGGATTAAAACAATTGACTGTAACGAAAATTACATTTTTACAAAAGAGGATACATGATATGCAGCCAAAGTTTACAGAAAACCTACCTACACCAAAATATATTTAAACGACCACGCAAACATCACAGGGGGAATTATCAAATCATTATATGCTATACCCCAAAACACCTGTTGAAATAAAAATTCATTTCAGGAAGAAAAAAAGCTAACGAAGGATATAAAAAAATAATAATTCTTGATGTGTCCATCGGTTACGAATGTTGGCTATCATCATGACAATCTTTATCTATCTCGTTTTCCTTGCAGGATGGCTTGAAGGAGAGCATATCTGTATTCATTTCGCATATGTCCGAAGAATTGTAACTTTCGAAGATTTGATGGTGGTCAGTACCTCTCCGTGCTTATTCATTCTTGAATTGAGGATCTCGTCATTTGTGACTGCCAGTCCGCGAGATCTTAAGGTCAGTTTCACGACTAAAAGAACAGAAGACGTAGAGAGAGAGGTAAGAGTTTATATCAAGAGAGAGGTTGTGACTCTCCGATTGAAGGTGGATCTAGCTTTTCCGATGTGTGCTCTAATCTCCTGGTTGTTGGTCCATTCTTCATTTATTATGGTGCCGAGGTAATTGTAGTGCGTCACTCTTTCTACAGGAGATTGGTTGACCTTCTGTTATCATTTTCTTGCTAATTACCATAAGCTTTGTCATCTTAACGTTTATATTTAGTCCATATTGTTGACTGTAATAAGTGATTTTGTTTATAAGAACTTGTAGGTCTTCTAAGTTGTCCGCAAGTATTATGGTGTCATCTGTACATCTGATGTTGTTTAGGCGGTAAAACACAGCTTATAGATTCTCTTATGAATTATCTTTAGGGACAATTTTAGATAACTTATGAGGCTTATAGTACGGTAATCTTCCCTTTTTTTGGCTCTTGATTTTTTTGGAAGTGCAATTAACTCCGATTTCAGTGATTCTGTTGGTATTTCTCCAGAGTTATGTATGTTGTTGAATATATTTGCGATTATTGCTATTGATTAGTTGTTCAAAAAGTAATTACTCATTATGATTTTTAAATAAGGAATTTTAACAAGATTCAAGAAAGCGATCAACAAGAAACGCTCACGAGAAGGGATTTAAAGATTGTAACAATACCATTAAAGGGCTTCTAGAAAAGGAAAGAAGTACATTCAAAACAACGAACCTAACGACACACAAGGGAGATCAAGGAACTGCATTTATAAAATACCCCATAAATGTATGGAAAGATGCATCAATAAACATAAAAGAAATATACATGAAAAAGAGAAAAATAAAAGAGTAGCTCTCATCCTACGTAATGAAGTAAAATGTGTAGCAAACACATTTTTAGGATTAAAAGACAAATCTATAATAATACACAAAATAATCAGAATTTGAGAGCACAAACACCAGTCTAAGTAAGTCAACAGTTATTTTGAAAAATATAACTCGCTTAAACGTTTTGGTTATATTTGTAAATTGATCTTTTTTGAAAACGTTTTTCGGAGAGGAAATGGAACATCAAGCAGCAGGTAAAAATAGATATATATGATAAAGGTGGCTTTACATCTAGGCCTTGCATGGAATATATCTAGTCTCATCTGTTTAGTGTTTACATATGCCCACTCTGAGATGCCGCCTTTGAAGTTTGTCAGCACGCGATCGCCATATTTTAGACGGAAACATACTCGAACTGAGAAATTTGTGACAAGCTACGACAGAACTTAATTTAAATTTTTACAGATTAATAATTTAGTACTTTGAAATAATTTAATATATTCTTCAACTGAAAGTACGAATAAAATAGTGAATATTATGTTTATAGTTGCCGTAAATAAATTAAACAGGGATAATTTTTCTATGCAGACCAGAAAAAAATGCCACTGAACAGCACTGGTTCCGAGTAAAACATGGTTGATTCCGTCTGCGAGAGCGAGATGCGCGTACTATACTTATTTTTTAAGCAGTGGGCATTCTGATTGTTTATTATTCTGTGGTTAAGTTTTAATCTAAAGTATAAATTTTGTTATATTGGCAACATGAATTGGGACGATAAATTGCTCTCTTTCCTTGTCTAAGATAAATAGCATGAAAAATAGAACACGTTCTAATTTTTCGTCTAGCAGGGACCGAGGACATGCGCAGCTGCATAATCTGTCTTACATAGCGATAGCATCAGAGAACTGTTCGTATTTCTCTGATAGCATCATAATTGCATAATGTAAAGACGACTTTACAATCAATTGTGGCTTAATCGCATATAAACATAATATTTAGTTTTATTAACATATTTAATATTTATAAATAATTATTTGAGAGGTTTACTAAAATTGTCTAAAAATCTTTAAAAAGCAGACATAAATTTCCATTAGATGTCATAGAAATGTATAATTTCGGGCGTTTCAAAGATCGCATCGGTAATAACGTGATAGCCAAAAGTATAGATGTTTGTAAAACTTATTTCGTTAGTTTGTTAAAACTTTGATAGGTGGCGCTTCATGTCGTTTAGTTATCTAGTGAACTCAATTTTTTTGTCTATACCTTACAAAATAATATACATTTTTTTCGTACGACCTAAAATCCTACATGAATAAACAATATTTACTTGTAGGAATGCAAAGCTGTAAATTAGAACAAAATAAAAAAAATTATAACGAGATATTTATTATCCGACGGTGCAAAACGATAAACATAGTTAAATTATTATCAATCACAACTCCGATTCTATATTTATATAACAAGATATGAAAGAACTAAAAAATATATGTAAAAATTGATAAAATGACATGAATAAAGTTATGGTACATCTAAACTTAGAATATTTTTTATATTGGTACAAGAGGACGCATGAAAAAGGCCTTCCCATTGGAAACAATAGTTTCTAATTTTATTCTGAACAATGAAACAAAATTTAGCGATATCTAGGTATACATATTTAAAATTCCCAAAATGGATAAGTACTTAAAATAAAATGTTATAACAAAAAAGGGGCTTTTCAAAAAATATGAAAACAGTCCATATATCATTTTTATCCTTGAAACTAGTGTTATGATCATTTGGAAATCATACATAAAAATGTGATAAACTACAGAAATAATTATTTTTGAGGTGAGGTGGAGCACGAAGCAGTAGACAACTGGACGGTTGGAGAAGGTTGAAAGACAGCCTGGAGGAGATGGTGACAGCAATACAAGAAATGAAAAATAACAGAAGTCCTGGTAAAAATGACATATGAATAGAAATGATCAAGTTTGGTGGAGAACAACTAGAAAGAAAAATATATCAGCTACTAGTGCAAGTATGGGAAAAGGAAATAATGTCATCGGAGTGGTATGAGGCCCGCATATGCCCTCTGCATAAAGAAGGAGACAAACTGAAATGTGATAACTATGGACGTATAGCCTTACTAGACACGGTATACAAAATCTTGGCAGGAATATTGAGAAATAAGCTAAATTGCTATACGGAAAGAATCCTACATGAGTATCAGGCCGGCTTTAGAAAGGACAGATATACTGTAGACCAAATCTTCTCATTAAAGGAGATACAAACGACTTGTTATGAAGGTAAAGTTCCCCTGCATGTTTTGTTTGTAGATTTTAGACAAGCACATGATAAGAGTCGATAGAGTTAAAATGTATCGATCAATGGAACATTTGGGTATACCAAAGAAACTGATCCGGCTAGTTAAAATGACACTAAATAACTCTACGTGTGAAATTGCTTGGCAGGGTCACATAGATCAATTTTCGGTTGCAAAAGGCTTGAGACAGGGAGATCCTTTATCCACTACATTATTCAATTTAGTGTTAGAAACTGTAATCAGAAAATGCAGCATGAAGGTGGAACAAACGATCATGAAAAATGAGCACCAGTGCTTGGCATTTGAGTGAGAGTGTAAGTTCAGTTAACCGGACAAGATCAAACGGAATGCGAAATTCTACCATAGCAAGCAGAAGTTTATTTCTATTAACGGAGTCGTATGCGGCTTTGAAGTCACAAATATGTGGTAGGTGTCGACGCCGAACTCTAGGGTTTTTTCAAGGATCTGCCTCACTGTAAATATCTGATACGTTGTTGATTTATTAGGACGGAAACCGCCCTGATATCCTCCCACTATTTTTTCGGCGTAGGGGAGGAATCTTCATTCATTTAAAACATGGGATCCTCAATCTCGCCATCTTCGTGATTGCCGCTAAGCAGTTCTTCAAAATGGTCTGCCCATCTGTTTAGTATCTGTTCTTTGTTACTAATTATGGAACGGTCCCTATCTTTACAGGCTATTATTCTGGGTTTGAATTCTTTTCTGCAGCTGTTTACTTGTTGGTAGAATTTTCGTGAGTCTTTTCCATTGTGGTGGTTAACAATTTCGTTTAGAGCGTGTTCGTATTGTTCTTCTTTTTTCTTCTAAACATTTTCTTTTCTTCTCTTCTAAGATTTTCATAATCTTCCAGAGTTAATCCCGTTCTGCGCTGCTATAGTCTCTTATATGCTTCGTTTTTTTGTTGGTTGATATGTCTGCACTCTTTATCGAACCAATCTTCGTTTTTTTGGTCTTGATAGGTTTTAATACAGTTTCAGCCGCTGTGTGCATGCATACCTTCTTTACATTTAGTCCAATGTTCTTCTATACTTAGATTTTGT